AACTCCAACTTCTGCGTACGGGTCTTGAGCTCTTCCAGGAGAATGGTCCTCTTGGCAAACCTTTTCTTACAGGCTTTAACAATCACATCCCACTGGTCTCCATGCACTTCGTAAGTGGATAATGCGCAGTCGTAGACGGGTGGACAACAACTTTTGTGTGCACGTATGCCTCAGCTCGCTATATGCGACGAACGTTTCACCATCACTCGCAAATTCACCTGCATGGATCTCCACTAAAACCTCCTCGAGTCTTCGACAATGCTGCGGAAATTTGAAAGCGTCTTTCAATGAGACCACAGTCAGTTTACCAACTATACCAGCATCGCATTTTGACTTTCCTTTCCTGGCTTCTGATCCTTGCTTAAGAACGACTTGCTCCAGTCTCGGCTCAGAATGGCGTTCTCTGTGTTCATAATGGCTCGCAGAATCCATCGACAGTAGGTCGCGGACTAAAGGGGGATGGCCCTCAGGACAAGTTTGTTCAGAAGACTGAAGAGCTCCTCGAACATCCAGAGCAGAATAGCTTCTCGAAGTGTGTAAGGAGACTCTCAGTGCCACCAACTCTTCGGATCTATTCTCCAATGCGGTGACATAGGCCATAGCTTCCTCAAGGGTCTTTTCGATATCTCTCTCTCGTTGATCCAAGTCGTTCATCGCGGCAAGATCATCGGGCGCTGTCCCGATTATGTTAGCCAGGACTTCTCTGACCCCCCGCAATTGGGTTCTGAGAACCCGGTTCTCACCCTGCCGCGATACATACGAGCTTTGCGGAGTTCGTGACGGAGTTCGTTTGGATCAGTAAATGCAGCAGCTGACCCTCTCCACTCTTCAAGGTCGATGGGCTCTTCATGAGCTACGCTTCCGCCCCCGATACCTTCCGACCCTGGAACGGATGGGTTCGGTCCGTCTTGTGCTTCACGACGGTTCGGATCAGGTGTCGCCATGGTTGGTGAGCCTTAACAAAATGCCAGTTGGCGCACAGGTTTTAACTAACATAACATGAATCTTGGCTGCGACCCAAAGCGCTGGAATTTCCAGCCTGGAAATCATGGAGCGCTCAAACATCTATGGGTTGCACGCCACCAGAATCGATTCGAGGCGCAAAATTACACCTCAATCAGTGTTATACAGCTTGAACAGTGTGCCATACACAGATCGTCACCCTGGCGCTAAGTTGAGTGCCTGCGCTAACATTTTACGAGCCTGATAGCCATTTCTCTTGTATACTGATGGTATTGTGTTATGCCTGGTCCACGCAGCCTGGGTTATAGAGAAAGATCAAACCCAAGACACGACTGATAAGTTTATAACACGGTTTTTATTGGAAACGCTTTGAAGACGTCAACGATCAGCTATGTTACCGGTGAAAACTCTACCCAACAGGAATGGGTATTCAATGACGATACATATCTGAGATACAATCACAAAAGTTTTCGAACTATCAACTGATTCTAATGCGGATAAATAATAATGATGCTGTCTGGAAGCAGCCGTGAAACCTTTGAAAATGAATCGGAGATATGGAAAAACCTTTATACAAAAAGGTGGATGCATTTCTCTGCTCCAGCAGTTCACGAGTCCTTAAGTCCTCGAGACAGCTTTACTGACCATAGAAGGAGCAGTTCGTCAAGTTGACGACGTCAACTGGATAAGGGCGATACTTACTGCTTCAAGTACATCTATTTCCCCGATGTGGGATAGATTGAATGGATTCTGTATACTGGCTGTTCTAGATTTGACAATAGTGCTGGTTATGTCTTGGCCTTCAAGACCGAGAGTAGCGAGCAAGGCCGCGACACCAGCAACCATAGGGGTCGACATCGATGTACCACTAGTTTTGTAGTACAAACCTCCGGGGACCGTCGAGTAAATATCCACACCGGGAGCAGCAACCTTCGTAACAAATCCAGCGTTCGAGAATCCGGCAAGAGAGACCGGTTCGGTTGGATTAGAAGTACTGGCAGCCACACAAAGCATGGATGGGATGTCCTCTGCAAGGCAGCAAGGATAAGTTCGGTTCTTCTCTAGATCAAGTGCTTCATTGCCAGCAGCAGCAACAGCAATATGTCCAGCAGCAGCGGCGTTCTTGTATGCAGCCTTCTGGAGCTCACTTGTGTTATACCAGCGGTAAGAATGAGAGGATACTGTTGCACCATTTTCAACTGCGAAGTTGAGGGCCCTCAGCGAATAACTCAAAAGGCCAACACCGGAATCGTCGAAGATCTTCAATACCATCAGCTTAACCTTCGGCGGTGGGCCTTCAATGTTAGCCACTCCTGCAATGCCAATGCAGTTATTAGTCTGGGCGACCGCACTGCCAGCGCAGTGGGTAC